GGCATTCCTTGGCCTGCAGTTTTTTGCAGTTCTGTCAAAGGGCTTAGACTCCCCACTGAGTCACTATATGTTTTTATCTACAGCAAGTATGAGGTTGCAAAAGGCAAGTGCTTTACCTCACTATGTTTATCTAATGCATTTACCTCAAGTTTATAATAAGCTTATAGAGTGTACAGAAACTAAGAGCTGATGATTTTGACTACGAGTTTAAGACTGATCAATAGGCAGGTACACATAGAGCCCAGATTCTAGGTCCTAGGGTCACTGAAACATCTAGCTGCAGCTCTAGTGCATGTACCCACAGCCCCTTGGTGCTCAGCATTTCATCAATTAATTCCCTGCTCAATAATCTGTGTATTTTGACGTTCTTTTTCAAATCCTACAATTTTCCTTATATATAGTATGAGAAGTTTAATTACCCAATACAGGAATCAAGAATCTTTTGGGGGGAGTTGCTAAAAACTAGGCATTGCAGCACCTAGTTTGAGGATTTCTAGTTCTTTCTCACTCTGTTTTTGGAAGAGGAAGGGGTATGAAATCAGATGTTTTAAAAGGAATTTAAGTAACTAATATGCTTGCTAGAACATAGATTAAAACTCTGCCATCTGGTGTCTTGGCCTATATTTCAGCAGTTAAACAACATCCACTCAGAAACAAAGTGGAAGCAGAGTGTTTAATTTACAATTTTTGTTTGCAAAGTCTGAAATTGTGGAGGGGTAAGTGTAATCTAACAAGATCTGTGTACTAAAAATACATGCAGAAAATCAGTAGATCTAAAAGGGTATAGATTTTTTCTAGTCCTGCCTCTGCTTTCTTACAAATCCTTTCTGACTCTGGAGTTTAGGCTCAAGGAAAGCAAAATCTAGCTTTTAGTTATTCCAAATGCTGGAGTCTTTTAGCATTTAGGAGATTGACAGTCTTTAAATACGAACAGCACAAAAATGGAGATGTGTATTAAATACTATATATAAATGAAGACAAACCCTGTGTTGGCCTTCTGATAATGTGCTGTTCAAGCATGTTCTAAGTTGAAACATATAGGCTGTTATGTACAGGCTGAAGTGCCTCATTTTATATCACGTACTTACCATTTACTGAGCAAATGATGTCTATTCCCTTCAGGTATATTTGTATTCAGTGACAATATGTTGATGCCTAGTGAATTACTGTTTACTTCCCCTTGTTCTACAACAAAATTTAAAGGAAAAACATACCTGTAAGATTTTGGAATAACTGATGACAATGACTAATCCTGGTATTAGAAAGAAAACAATGGCAAAGGTCACATCCCAAACTATTTCTCCTGCACGGCTGGGCCAAACCAAGGTGCAAATCTGAATCTCCTGTGTACAAAGAATAAAGAAGAAAATTAACATTGTACCATTATTTTTACTCCAAAGTTGTCCTTATCTCCCTCTATGCCTATGGAGAAAATGACTGCAGACTAAACCGAGTCTGTGAAAACTTTCCACTTAAACAGAGCCGTCACTTAGTGTATTACTTCATGGTTTTAAAAGCTCATACAATTACAAATAGATGTGTTTCTACAACCTAAATATGGCCATATATTTCATATAAAATGCTAACTGCAACTTTAAAATTGAAACTTACAAACCTTAAACTTAATCATGTATTTGAGTGTCATGTTGGGTGTACTTCCGTACGCATTTCAAAATACTAGGCAGGAAAAAGTGTGCTGAAAATGGGA